ACTACTACCAACAATCAATACGAAACTAACGATTTTAAATTGGCTCACTATTTGACTAGCCTATTGGTCCCCAGCAAATCGATTACGTACCCCATTCTAGTCCAAATTCTAGTACTACACAATGTTTGTTTTGATTCGCTATGAAAGTTTGACAGATAAAATGAAGTGTTAGTGGATTTTTCTATGTTTCGAGGGGTGAATCGATTAGCTTGGGACCGAAGAGAGTACCAGAGCTGAGTCAAAAAGTTCAGCACGTTAATTCGGGACCTTCTTGTCTTAGAGTTACCTCCCAACAAACAATCGTCTATTGAAGAAACGACTTCTTGGCCATTTTATTCAACTGCATGCTTAATAGTACTTGTACTATTTTTAATAATAACTTCTGTTCAGGCTTTGTTCACACAAATCTGGAGAATTTATTCAACCACAACATTGAACTACTGGTGTTGTATAAGGTATGTCGGAGAAGCTTTTATTTACTTATATGAGTTGTAATAGAGTTTATACGATACAATTTTTGATTATTCAGCGTTTATTAGACATCATTGCTTCCTTAAAACAGTGATGCTCTGTATACACGCTTGATTATCATGTGAAGTAACGTTTAATTAGACATTATTATACATTTATTAAACGACTATTCAACTGTGGGAAAATTAACCCGAAAATAAGAGGACAGACAGGGACAAGGGAAGGGTGTGTGTGTTTCTTCCTTAAGTGTATTGTATTTCAATATTTCTGACGTGGCTCGCACCACACAGATATTAGAAAATTTATTAAATACTTATACATGCCGTTGTATGGGAATCGAACCATGTACCTTCCGATCACCAGCCGCTTGCCTTGTCATCTGAGCTATCCTAGAATTCATCATATGGGCAACTCAATAATCTATATAAGCTTGCATGAAAGTAAATACCTATCAGCACTCCCGATCGCAACTCTAGCTCCTTCAAGGAATGATTAATTCATTCATCGTTGTTTTAAATGAGACCAATGTTGCCTCTTCACATCTCCAAGTCGAAAGAAAGGATGCTCGGTTATATTTTAAACTAGATCAATGCATTCATTATCGTGAGTCATGTGATCGATGATTACTATTTAAATTAATTATGTTCTAAACAAATAAAAAAAAGGTTGAGCTTGGGATTGAACTCACGACCTTCTAATTGGAAAGCGGAAACGGTAACCACTACTCTACTGATTTCGCATTGTTGTAAGACTGAATCAGTGTTGTCGAATAATGAATCTAATACGTCGTTTATAAAGCATTTACAAATCATGTGACGCATAGTGGTATAAGAGCTATTATGCTGACTGTATTCAACTTTATTCAGCAATATTGTAAAGCAATGCAATGAAATCTAATAATGGAGCTAGAAAACATTTAGCATAAAGCATTTTATTCAATCATTTGAAAACAGTCGAATAAAAGCGACAATGTATGTGCAAATTACACTTATTCAGTTTGTTATTAGATCAAACTTTTGGTTCTGAATAAGGAAGATAGTCAACGTTTATAAAGCTTTTAATAAGGAAATTAATCATATCAGAGCAAACGGCGGAATAAAAGCGCATCTATCGATCTCAATGAGCTTTTTTCAGCACATAATTCGACATCCTGTTTTATTCAGCATTGTACACTGTTATACAGCATTTATTCAATGTGTATGCTTATTTGTGACTTTGAATTGTTTGTTGGGCTCTATGGTGCTACCCATACAAGTAAAGATAAGTTTCCTGAAAGCTTTGGATGTCCATAAATTTTCAGAGCATACTGTCAGTTGGTATGCTATCTTAGACACCCACCTTTTGTAGACGCCACCTAGTTTTTGTCACGGTAGTTAAGATACCATTTTTAAAATTTAAAACCATTGCGTCGTAGAGAATTCAATAGATTTTGGCTATTATCAAAGACATCATATCAAGAAGACTGGCAACTTTGCCAGAATCCAAGCGACAGATACAATAGCGCTGCGCTTGAGTGAAGGTGGAAGCAACGCATAGAAAAATTAGCAAATACACAAACCTTTCTTCTGAGGATGTAATCTTTGCTATCAAATTCGTTCGAAGCTTTTACTTTTGAGCGGCAGATGACGCGATTGTGTCGGTCTCATAGCTGTCGTATGAGAAAATGGAAGAGTTGCCAGTCTTCTTGATATGTTGTCTTCGCTATTATGCTTAACACTTTGTACGACTTCGTTTATTCTCTCGAATCTGCCAATAGGAAGAATTTACGCAAACGGCGAATAAGAACGACTCAAATTTGAGTTTAGTTCGCTCATAATCGCCAAAAGTGCAGGAACTCTGCGATGAGTTAATTTGCCTCATGTTTTCCTAGGTCTTTCCAGGATTTTCCAGGGAAAAATTCCCGAATTTGAGAAAAGTAAAGATTGGATTCACTCAGTCTATTGGTACTACCAGTGCTGAGATTTGTCATTGTCATTGACAGACTTTCGCGCGATATTGACAAAATTGTTCGTCACATAGTCACTGACAGACTTGATCCTCAAAAAAACCTTCGTCAAAATCTCATTCGTTTTTTCGTCAATGACAATGATTCACCTGGTAACAGAAAGTGTAATTTAGTACATTCTGTGTCACATTATTGTTATCCAAGTAGCTCAGTACGTAGATACTTGTTCACTAAAATGGATCCATGTAATTGTTTTCCTCAAGTCATTTAATTTAGTTACAAATTTAGCTAATAAACAAATTTGCACATGTTCGTCACTGACACCATTGTCATTGACAATTGACATGGTTTGCCTTGACTATGACTGCTAGCTAAAATGAGTGACCAAAGCAGAATTGTCAATATCACCGTGTACTGTCGAGATTGTACTACTCCTAGACTGAATAAAATTTTCGTCAATTTCCTCATTTTCCGGCAGATTTTTTAGGTTTTCCACAGGAAACCATGGGACAAATTTTACTCATCGCTAAGTTCCTGCACTTTTGGCGATTATGAGTGAACTAAACTCAAATTTGAGTCGTTCTCATTCGACGTGCAGTAGTTTTTAGGCACAACCCAAGCTACTCCGTGTCTATCGAATCATTTGAGTGGAGTGCTTTGAAGTTATCAGAAGTTGTTAAATGCTGATTTATGTTGAAGACAACTGAGTGAAATTTACTGCGCAACATCTTAAATCGAATTTTGAATTTGTCGAGTGCAAGATCATATCAAAATTGACATTGAATATACATTGTGAAGTTGGTGAAATTTGAAATTCAGGCGCTCCTTGCCCAGTTAACGCGGCCGGCTTGTATCGGCTTGTATTGGCTAGTGCTAGAATCGGCAAATATCGTCGAAACTGGAGCGGACTGTTTCAAGCAGCTAGGACATCCACCGTCTTATGCTGACTGTTGATCAGACGGCAATAACGCCCACCCGTTACTGCTACTGTGCATTTTCTCGTAGCACAACCGTTCGGCTACGACGAATTACCACTGCTACTGCGCAATTCGTAGCCTTTGTTGGAACGACTCGTCTCGCCAAGTCGTGCGGCGTAAGCTGCGTACAGCTGCTCAACAGCTCATCACTCCACTACCCTTGGGGACGTCTATTGCCCACGCGCGAGTCATCTTGGTGCGTAAGCTTTCGGAGACGAACTGATCGGGTTTGAGTTTGCGTACTAGAACGTGGCGGGACATCCGACGAGGGACCGGATACGCTGAAGGAACCAGGTCAGATCGGTCCGAAACTGCTCACATTAGTTTGATTTGTTCTTGAATGGCTATGCTAACACACATGAACTATAAACGTGACGTCACAGTAGGAAACTGTTAGGTTTGCCTTAATTCAATAAATTTCTATTTCCCTTGAATTTTTAATTAATAAATCGCTAATTCGATAAATTTAAGTTAAGTATATACGGGTTTCGTCCAATTGAATTGAATAATAAATAAAAATTACTTCTAGTTTAGATTAGTTACTTCACACATCTTTTGCGTCACGTTATTTGTATGTGTTTATATTTGTTATATTTGTTGGTTTGGGTTTAAAGAACTATTGCATATTTCCCCTTGGTTGATTTTAAAGAATTATTTAATTTTCGCGGTTTGAATTGGTGTTTTTAAATTTGAGTATCCTAATCTAATTGGTTGGCTTTAAACGTTTGGGTCAAAATATTTAAGTAAGTTCGTTTGTGTCAACATTTGAGTGACCTGCCCTGAGAAGGGAAGTTTCTTGCCGGGTAATTAAGAACGAGTTGACGGTCCTTCTTTGGAAGGTGGCGCTTAAGCTGTCAGCTTAGCGTAACACGGAGAACGTTACAGTATTAAGAGAAAAGTATGAGAATTCCTTCGAAACCGCGACGAATAATTCATTTCGTTTTTTTTTTTTTTCTTAAAATACTAGTTTTCAAATCCGAAATAGACCCAAATGATGTTGTTCCATTACTAAGCATGCTTAATTTCCTCAACTTTTCATTACTATTAGCGAATTTGTTTTTGATTCAGTTCCAACCTGGTTCGGGTGTGAAGATTGGGTCTGCTTGTTGCCTGTCGAACGTCAGTGCGAACGTTTGTTTTTGTAACCTGGCTCGGGTTGAGGTTCAAACTCGTCGGCGCCGGTGGTGTAGTGGAAAGCGTGACTACTTTCTCACCCCAATGGGTCTGGGTGAGATTTTTCTGAGGCATAAAAATCTCTGGTCACGTCTTCCTTAGGCAGGGAAGTAAGGCCGTTGGTCCCGTCCAATGTGTGTGTGGAATGGGTGCGATATCCTTGGCAGGTGTGGAAGCTGCCTTCCTGCACATTCGATTGCCGTCATCGAAAACAGGATGAAGAGTTAGTACCATTGTTGGACATTACAATGCATACATTTAAGGAACTGGGAGTTCGATTTTGGATAAGATACAGCCAGGAGTTTAAAGTATATAGTTCAGAGGTGACACATATTCCTTCGCTTCGCTTTGGATTCGAAGTTCACAGTCTGCTGCTGTCATATTTGGATCAAGGAAATTTCTCAAAAAATCAAACTACCATTCTCTCATTGTAGTACAGTCGCATTATAGTTTCACTAGCATCAGCATCTCGCTAGCACGTCATTATCACTTTAATCTTAACACATTTGCGCAAACCGACGAGATTCTCCCGCGCGCTGCGCACACACTAATGCCTAGAATAGTTTGCTCCTATTTCCTACTTTTGATCAACAAACTACTTTCCTATCATATATGAAGATGAAAATTTCTCTGTCGTCTACAACGATCCATAAATCTATCAAAACAACACAGCTCCCGTCTTCGTTTGTTTTTCCGCCTTTGTTTCTCCTAATCAGTTTAAGCTCTATAAGGCTCAATTCAGTACTCGCCGATTCGAATAGATATAATATTAGTTTTACTTTCACTAATACTGTGCTCATACTTTTGAAAATTTGTTTATAAGTACCTCACCTAGTCGTAGGATCGCGATATTTTGATGTTCACATATCTGTCATATAAATTAAAATACCGATCTCGTCTATATGTATATCGCAGTCTTATGCTTACACGACAATATTTGTTTTAACTAGATTAGGAAAATATGTTCCTGCACATAATAACTCAACGTTCTCATTCGTCCGATACTCTGGGTAAAAACTAACTCTCCTTTCCATAGGCAACAAGTGCAACCGACGATATAAAGCTCTCACGCCGCCATACTCGGGTTCGCTTCCACTACCTTCTTCGTTTGAAACCGCTTGATGGCGAACTCGACCAGCCACGCGAACACACACAGGAAGATGCAAACCGACTGCGCGTGTATGCAGATCGGATAGCTGTCGGTCCAATCGCGGATGGCACCGATCAGCGGTCCGAAGGCAATGACAAACACCCCCTTGCCGACCATGTGCCACCCGAAGGCAGCCGGAAGCTTCTCCAGGGACGAATACTCCGACACGCACAGGGTAAAGTTGGCCAGGGCGACCCCACGGAAAAAGCCTGTGATCGACAACCACACCATCAGCTCGCCGTAAGTCCGCTGGTGGGCGACAACTTTTCGGAAAGAAAGAAATACATAATCATCATCACACTCGTTGAGAATCTCTAATTCGATTATACTTACTCGATCTGGTGATGGCCACAAAGACCAGTGCCGTCATAAAAATCAACCGCTTCCGAATTTTTAACTTATCCCCGATCGGTGGCACGATGACACGAGCCGCAATGTCCGTCAGGGCCGAAACCGACAGGAAGAAGGCCGTTTCCGCCTTGCTGAAGCCTAAACTCGACAGGAAGAATGGGGTCACCATCTTGAAGTTCATCTCCGCCACGTAGAAAATCGACAGCCCGAAGAGAATGTTCAAATAGATCACATCCCGCAGCAGACCAACGTCCATCAAGGCCGTGAAGCGCTGGAAGAAGGAAACCTTTGGTTTCACCATCTCCAGCCCCAGTTCCGATTTAACGGTTTCGATCCGCTTCGGAGCACGTGTGAACGAGCCAACGTGCGTATTCACGCGCCGAATGATTTCGTAGTCGACGTCCTCCGCATCGACGTCGCCAGTCTGCGAATGAAGAACGAGAAAAAGAAAAGGGAAAATCAGCTTTCAAGTTGTGTTCGCTCTTCTGCTGCCATCTATCTTAAGGTGATGGCAATAAAAAAAAAGCTTTCCCGCGCACACAAGGGCAAGGGTTCCTCCAACCGGTCTCAAAACCGTTTGATCATACTTACATCCACGTGAATGTGCATACAGCTGCCACTGCCGGTGAAATCCAGCGCCGACAGTCGCGAAACGACAGATTCTCTTCGCTTCCTCAGTGCTAAGCTCATGCTGGCCGTCGAAGTGATCCGCGGGAAAGATGGCCTCGTCCGCATCGACCCTATAACCGTTCCGTTCTGTATGCTGACGCTGGACGTTATCCTCGGGAAGGTTGGCCGCTTCGGCAGCCCGTTCGGTTGTGGCGATGGACAATTTTCCGACAGTTTCCTATCCCTCCGGGGAAACAACAGACTCTTGATCTCCGGCAGACTATCGTTGTCGCCGTCGTCCTCCTGCTCCAGGATGATACCCATCGCGGGAGCTTCCACCATCTCGATGTCAACCTCTTCCTCCTTGAGGTGCCACTTGATGGGTTGCAGCAGAGTGGCCCCGACGGCAGCATGCAGCGCTAGACCGCTGAGAATCAACACCGCACCACGGAAGTCGTACGATTCCAGTAGATATCGGACCAGCTGGGGCATGATTAGCATTCCGATTGCTGTGCCGGCCATCGATAGACCGACGGCCTGGCCTCGCTTTTTCGCAAAGTAATGGTTGAGAGCGACGAAAGCGGCGGACGTTGCCAGCCCGACGCCGATGCCTGGAAATGAAGAGAGGGGCGGATTTGTTTTCAGAGAAAGCTGCGAGTTTTCGGTTACAGGTAATGTCGGGAGCATTTGAAGTCAGTGTGTTATTCTTGCTGTTCAAAAATGCGTCTGATAAGTAAGGCAAAAACTACGGCAAATCCCGAATACGCAATAGATTAGGATTTAGGGATCCGTATACCAATCTACGTTATTTGATTTCTTCTGTTCAATTGAAAGTTTATTACCAAACCGACGGTATTAATTTAAAAAAAAAAACTTCCCCTAAAATACCTGGAAGTTTCAAAGAATTTTAAAAATTTGTTACTAAGGAAAATTTCAAGAAAATAATGAATTTTAAAATACAACCATTTATTACCAGATTCACAGTGGATTAATCTTCAGTAAGAAATAAATTTAAAAAAAAATATTTTTTTTTTTGGTTTCTGAAGACCACTGTCTTTCTGTAACGTTTCCGAAGTTTTTCTAAATTTATGGAACTTTTGAAATTTTCATGGAATTAGAACGAAATAATTAGTATATTTCTTTGATTTTCAACGAAGTTCTCAAGATTTTTCTGAAGTTCATAAAACTTTTCTTAAATTATCGACACTAATTTAAAACTTCTTCAATAGTCTAGACTTTACTGGTGTCTAAACGATTACTGAATTTCTGTAAAGTTCTCTAGACTGCCCTGAATTTATCAGTATTTTTTAAGAACCCGCAACTTTACTGAAATTGATTAATTTGCCTTGGAGTTTTGAAAATGTTCCGTATTATAACCATTATTAACACTCGCTTTTCACTGAACTTATCTATGCTTACCCGAAGTTCTCTAAATTTGTTTAATAATCCAGTAAATTTTCTGATACATATTCATAATTCCCTGACGCGTCTGACGTTTTAGGATCAATCATAGAGTTCTTGGAACAGCCTATAATTCCACGGTTCTCCATAAGTTGCTGCAAATTTGCTTAAGTTAATGGGATTATTCTGAAGCTATCTGATCGTCCTCGAAGTACTCGGAACTTCATTAACTATCTAAAAATATCTAAATTCAGTTCTTCTGCTTGCTAAAAGTTCGTTTTTTTATTAATGGAACTTCGTTTATGTTCTCCAATCAACTTAGCTAAATTTTCTCATTTTTTTAGGTTTTGAAATCTCCATGATATAACACCCTTAAAATATTCTCACGTTTTCCGGATGTTCATAAAACTTCCAGAGATTCTCTCGGAGCTTTGCTGAAGTTTTCGGAAATTCACTGAGCTTCTCGAAACTTCTTGAACGGCCCTTTGATTCTCTGACCTGTCTCTGATCTCGAAGCTTCCATAAAGCTCTTAGTTCTATTGAAGATCTCGGTTCTGCTCGGAAATAAATAGAATTCCCGTAAACACCTTTAAATTTCCCTGAAACTCTCTGGACTTCTGTGAAGTTTTTAAAATATTTCTGAAGGTTCCTTAAAATTCGCGGAACATCTTAAGGGTTCTCGATTTGTGTTTTCAGCACATCATGAAACTATCTTGAATTTATCTAAATTTACGATTCAGATTTTTAATCTATTTAGCTTTTCTGAGGTGCTTAGAGCTTCTTAAAAAGTTTTGCAATACCCCTAAAGTTTTCTAAATTTCTCAAGTTCGCTTGACACCTGTGAAGTTCTCTGAAATTCTAGGAACTTCATAAAAGTTCCTGAAAAGTCTCGGATGCTAAAATAACTGCTTTGAAGTTCTTACAGCTTTCAGTAAGTTTCCCATATTTTCAGCGTGATAACTTCCCTTATGTTCCTGCAGTTTTTTTTTTATAGAGCTTCACTGAAATTCTCAGCTCAGTGACTCGCTACCAACCCTGGAATCTTGGCAAAAAAAAAATAAAGTGTGTAAACCTCATGTTTTTTGTCGTTTTCGAAAAAAATAATTAATAATATCCAACCAACCACCGGCCACCCGTGGCGCTGTTGTTGTAGTGATGATAAAAATGCATCTGTCAAACTTGACTCACATCAGAATTTTTACATTTTAAATAGAAAATTTCTCATGTTTTGTATGTTTTAAATCATTAAGTATGGTAATCATAAAGCTTGTAAAATTGTACGAAAAGTGGCTGTTCGCAATAGCGAAACTTCCAAACGTTCACCACCGTCAGCCGTGTCAACGCGCCACTCTCCGGCAAGAAGCGTTTACAACACTCGCGGTCCTTTTGTGTGTGTATGCGTTACGAATCGAGCCGGCGTAGAGAGAGAGAGAGAGGGAGAAATACAGTCGACCGTCGCTGACTTGGCCGAATCAACAGTGAGCTTGCATCGACTAATCACAGAGCCGAATGTATCATAAATGTAACTTTTTCGTAGTTTTTTGATATTATAAAAGCAATAACTCCTGAAGAGAAGGCTGCCGCGATAGGTCAACACTTCGTCAGCTCCCATAATCTCGGACAAAACATCGTCAGCCCTCATGAATCTGAGGTTGCTGAAAATGCAACCAATCTTCATCAGATTCCCAACATTTTACCCGAGGAATCCAAGATTTGTGCTGACGAACTGTTGGCCTATATCAAATTATCTAAAAACATGAAAGCCCCAGGTTTCGACAACATTCTGAATCTGGAACTCAAACACTTGAGTTCCAGATTCTACAACCATCTGGCACTGATTTTTAATCAGTGCCTCAGACTTGGCTGCTTCCCCTCGTGTTTAAAGTCAGCTAAAGTCATACCGATCCGGAAACCTGGGAAGGATCCGTCCTCTCCTTCAAGTTATCGACCAATCAGCCTTTTCTCAGGGTTATCAAAACTGTTCGAAAGAGCAGTGTACCACCGGCTCCTAACATCTGCCGGTGAAAACAACTGGTTACTCGAGGAACAGTTTGGTTTTCGGAAAGGTCGTTCGACCGTCCACCAGCTAACTCGAGTAACAAACATTCTCAGACGGAACAAGTATGTTTCGAAAACATCTGCCATGGCGTTGTTAGACGTTGAAAAAGCGTTCGACAATGTCTGGCATGATGGCCTGGTGTTCAAATTGCAGCAGTACGGTCTTCCAATCTTCCTAGTGAAGATAATAAACAACTTTCTATCGGACAGGACGTTCCGAGTCTCTCTGAATGGCATCACATCGGATGCTTTCAGCATCGGTGCCGGGGTTCCACAAGGAAGCATCCTTGGCCCCATCCTATTTAACCTGTTCACCTCCGATATGCCGGCTCTCCCTGATGGTGGATCGTTGTCTCTGTTCGCACATGACACATCCATCGTCTACAAGGGTAGGGTCATCGGAGCTCTGACTGCCAAACTTCAGAGAGGCCTAGACGTCCAGTCTGAATACTTCAACAGCTCGAAGATCCGTATCAACGCGGCAAAGATCCAATCTTACCACACTCTAAATCTCCCAGACTTGTTCCGTCGGAGAATAACAAGGTGGAATGGTCCAAAGAGGTCGTGTACCTCGGGCTAACACTAGACAGCAAGCTTCTTTTCAGGGAGCACGTTGACAAAACGAAAAGCAAGTGCAACATCTTGATAAGATCGTTGTATCCACTTATCAACAGGAAGTCAACCCTGTCCCTGAAAAATAAGCTTGTACGGTATGCCAATCTGGGAGAGTTGCGCAAAATGCCATCACCTTAAACTCCAAAGGATCCAGAACAAGATCCTTAGGGTGGTCCTAAACAGTCCCCCGCGGACTAGAAATTCTGAGATCCACCTCCTGGCTGGAATTCAAACATTAGAAGAACGGAGAGTTTTCATCCTGGAAAGGTTCAGAGACACCTGTCTAAGATCAAATCATCAGATCATACGTGATCTAGCACGTTAGGTTAAGTTATACTCATAGTTAGGTAGGTTATCACTTTTTTCAATTCAAATAAAACACATCCCCAAAGGGGTATTCTGTAAACTAGTTGAAAAACGCAAATATTAAATTAGAATATCAAATTAAACAAAGATGAAGAGCCAGGTAGGCTAATCAATTAATATGATAAATCAATGTACTACTGTAATCAACAGAAATAAACATAATTTTGCTACTACTTCTACGAACCATTGTTCAGTTTTATACGAGAAGCCGAAGAATGAACATAGAGAAACACGTCAAATCCAGTGTTTCTGTTTTCCCAAGCGAGAAAAATTTCCATTGTTTTGACCAGATTAGCCGATATGTTCGAGCGCCGCCTCGAAACGGCTTGGGCCCGACCTTCGGAAACAACGTGGTTTCTTTTCACTCGGTGTACCTATATAGCTCGCTACATCCTACAAAAGAGCTGAGTTCTTTTCAAAGCTCATTAGCAAGAATTTTCGGTAGACGAAGCTTATCGTTGGGTGAATTGGAAGCTAGCTTTGGTGAGTCACATCATCGCAATCGTTCGTTAGCGGGCGTGTAGTGGTAATGTACCTTTATCGCCAATTCGTTTCGTTTCGTGTGGTTGTGTTGACAGTGTGTGAACACAATCGCCGCGTCACGGACCAGCAGTGGGCTGATATGTGGTTGGCCATCCATCGATACTAATGTTGGCAATGACCTAACATAAAGGGTGTCCACGATGAAATTGCCACACACAAAATTGATTCGCAAAATTCGAGTTTTCATCCGATTGCCATCAAATTTTCAGGGATTGAGAAATAACTATTAAACTTCATTTTACCATTTTACTCGTATTTTATTTATAGTCCATACGCAAATGCCCGCACCTTGGCCTTAACCCCGGCCATAAGATTCTGCACAACCTGTGAATCAACCGTTTTTTGCATGTAAACCCATACTTTCTTCAGTTCCTCGACTGTCTTCACTACCTTAGGTCGTTTAAGAAGGTGCTGCTTCATAATCGCCCAGTACTTCTCGATGGGGCGGAGCTCCGGAGTGTTGGGAGGGTTGAACATTTTCGGCACGAAATTGACCTTATTGTCCGCATACCACTTCAGCACGTCCTTGGAGTAGTGGCATGAGGCCAAATCCGGCCAGAAGATTGTTGGGACGTTGTGGGCCTTCAGGAGAGGAAGCAGCCGCTTCTGGAGGCACTCTTTTATGTAC